TGGTGTCATACAGAAACCAATATATGGAGTTTTGTAAAAGTTTTCTTACCAAGTTTACTTTTCACTTGTTCTAAAACTCTTGCCTCTGTTAAAAACTTTTGGGTCAGATCTGAGGTTTGTTGTGAACACAGCAAGGGGGCAAGACGATTTTGAGCCGCCCCTACGAGCCTGTCAGCTCTCCACAGACAAAACAACTGTTGTGTTTCAGAAACTCAAGATGAGTTTGTCATTGAATGTCATTTTTGGTTTGGTGCTTTGCTGGTGGGTTGAAAGTGAATTGTTTGTTGGCTAACCACAGGTGGGCCTCTTTGAGAGGCTAATGAATGCTAGATGTACAAACAGTTCTACTGTGATCCATTATTTAGATCACAAAGAAAGGAGAAGAAAAAAAAATTCATAGAGTCCAGGTTTTTGTGTAAACAGTGCTGTCTTAAGGAAAATATTTCACTCATTCCAATATTGATTTAATTGTGATTTAGTACATCACAATTACCACAGATACTTTGCAAAGAGCAGAGAGTTTGAAAAGAAATGTTTTTATTGAATGAATAGTCTTTGTGGTATGCGGTATGCTTTTTGCCAATACTGACATACACTTACATTTATTCTTTCTTTATTTGCCCTCGTAGTCAAGTACAGTGCCAATAAAAATATTCACACCCTTGGAATGTTTTTTGTTTTATTTTCTAACAACACTGAACCACAAAGGAATTAATTTGGCCCGTTTTGTAAGAATATTCTTTTGTCAGACAAACTCTTTACAAACTTGCGTTGGTAAAGCATCCGCCAAATGCATAAATGTATATTGTTGTTAAATATTTGTCCTATTCAAAATAATAACATTTGTCATATAACAGCAGGTCTTTAATTATTATTCTGAATAGACAAATAAAAATACTCAAGTCAGCATAAACTGTGGAAAAGATAATAGTTATCATTTTCAATTTTTTTTGAAGTACAAAAATAAAGTACAAAACATAATAAAATCCAATACTTTTTATAAGCACTGTATGTTCACAGCCTAGCCAGGGTGGTTTTTCTGGAAAGCGTTCATGTGGAATATCATACAAATCAGGGCATTTCTCCCCTTAGAGTGACTAATTGCTTATTTACAGACATTTGAACCGGACTGTCCTTCAATTAACAGTAAACATGAATCATTTTAATAAACGCTGCTGCAGTGTGCTATGAGCATTGGGATCCTCAGTGCTGGATAGCCACAGGCTAGCTGAGCTGCAGTGGATACATGCAGAGCTTGAGAGAAGTGGAGCTGGAATGATTTCCAATAGCGCACCTCATTGACACACTGCAGGCCTGCGGGCGACCATTTTAACAATATCAACATCAATATCAGCACTTGAGAAAAGGGTTTCATGGACAATGCCTGCTGCCTTTTTCTGTAATGAGATTTTGTTCAAACGTTTAAATCATATTGTTACCTCAGGTCACATATATGCAATTTTTTTTTTTTTTAAATTGAAGTTTGAGGTACAGTAGGAATTGATCTGGAGAGATTCATCATATTAGTCTAACCCTCATGTTGTGTTCCGGTCATTTTGACCTGAAGAGGATTTTCTTTGCCAAAATTATCCACAAATAAAGCACTCAAAAACTGAGGTGCATAAGTTAAGATCAATGAGGCTTCACAATCAGTTCCGAAAAAATAAATATAAAACTTGTGCTAATTGATGAAAGCAAGTTGACAAAAAGATTTAGTGACAATACAGAATAATAAGAGGTTTACAAGCATTTTTTTTCACTAGGAAAACCAAATTAGGTTAAAGCAATAAGCCCCAAGAAGACTCCGCTTCACGTCGTGCCTAACAACGCCCCTTAGCTGTTATAAATTCACTGTAAACCACGGCTTCACGGGGCTTATTGCTTTTATAAAACGGTTATTCCATATACGTAGTACGGTTTCACAAAATAAAACGTTGTAGTTCCTCAGAAACCGTTGTGGTTGCAACAAAATGGTTGCCAAGCAACAGACAAATGTAAACAAAGGTGTATGTTTGTAGAGTAATTTACAACAGCTTCGAACGCGGCTCAACCAATCAGAATCAAGGACCGGAACTATCTGTTTTATCCACCTTTTTCTTGCCGTAAAAATGTGCGCGCCCATTTGTAAATTCTATGGGTCTAGCTTCCGGTCTCATCCGCGTCCAGCTATTTTTATCTGTACAGAACAGCTCCTTTTGCTGCTTGATATTGAAAATTGGTGTGTCTAACCATATTAGTTTAATGTATTATTTTAATTATGAACACACTGGTTTGTAGTGCAAACAGTTTTACCGTTTACTGCACGTTGTTATTCTTCTCGTTATTTCCCTACAGCGGCCAATGAATCGGAAGTCTCACCCACAGGCTTACTTCCGCGTTGAAGAAAAAGGTGGATAAAAAGTATTTTAAGCACAGCGCATGGGCTAAATTAGTTTGGAAAGATTCACTAATTAAGATCCTAAAGCTGTAGCTCATCTGGTGAGGCATGACGCTAGCAACACACAGGTCCTGAGTTCAATTCCCAAGGAACACACTTGCTGATAAAACATTTATACCTTGAATGCACTTTGCATAAAAGCATCTGCCAACGTAAAAAAAAACAACAACTTTACTTTGACTTTAAAAGATGTTTTAGTACATAAAACATAGGTTGATTTCATTGTATCTATAATAAATGACAGTATATGTGTGCAATATGTGCCTAATTTCAAAAAATAAATCAGAACTTCCATGATAGCGAACACACATGCAAAATTTAAAGTTTCTCTAAAATTTCATGCTTTTTGAGCTTTAATGACATTTAAATTCAGCTATACAAACAGTGCAAATGACTTTAATTAGTACATTTCAGCTGTGATGGTATTCGATTTTTGTTTCTAAAGAAAAAAATATACTGTACACAAGAAATGTTTTTGTTTTAGATGCTACGTGCTACATACTGTACACAAGACTTTAGGTATGAATAGCTATGAAAAGGAATGAGATCGCACAGGCTCTGCACATCAAAAGCTCTTAGGGTATTAGATATTACTGGGGAAAAAAAGAATAATAAAAAACTTTGCAGTAGCCAATATGAGGCATCACAGGGATCAGCTCCAGTAATATTGGGCTACAGGCCTAGTTTCTCTCTCCAAATAGCTATCAGTCAGAGGCATGAATAATGAATGGGATTTCTGCTGTCCTGAAACTCTCACACAATAGTGACCTTGACCAGATTTCATACGAAATGAAAAAGTCCACTCTCCTCCGGCAGGGTATATCCTTTGCTCTCAGGGGTTTAGGACTGAGCTGTAACAAAGCTCATTTCACCAAGTTGGTTTTAAGCATAAAATGAGTATTTCACTGTAGAGGTTCATGATTTGAGAATTGCAGTGTGGTAGAGCTGGACAGCATCAAAATGTTGGGTGCTGTATGACACCAGCTTCTGCACCATGGTATGAATTCTAAATCAATATCTTCCAATAATTTGTAATTCATCTCTTTTGTTGTTGTTGTTGTTGTTGATAATGCTTACTTATCTGCAATAACTTTACTGGCATTAAGTATTAGTGCACTTAAAAATGTTTTTAATTGCACTGGAACAGTGGCATCTACAAACAAATAATGCTAGATCTTTTCTCAGATGTAACACTATACTGATTTATATTTCATTTTATTAGTTAACATTAACTATAAACATGTTCCACAATGTTTGACTACTAACTAGAAAATGTCTCATTTTCATTTTGAACAATATACTGTGTATCTATTGTTTCATATTTTGAAACCTAACACAATTCATCTTGTTTAGACTGAAAACCATGCGACATAAATATGCCAATTAGTTTGATATTTAATGAATGTGCCACTTATTTTGATATAAAACTATATTTTATATAGGTATGTTGTAATAACATTTATACATTTTAAACTGTAGTTTGTATGTACAAATACTTTTTGGCATGCAATAAATATTTGAACAAAAATATGATATTGCATACTTGTAGAGCTGAAACTGAGACAGAGACAAACAGAAGTGCCATTAAACATTATATTAGTACTGTTTCAGTTTTGGCTTGCACTGAGTGACTATATACATTTTATTAGTTCATCCATTCCCTAGGGATCAAACCTTACCCATGATCATCTTGTTTTTACAACAGTTTGAACTAAAGTTCTGAGTCAGAAAACAAAAATATCCAAAATAATGATGTCAATCTGTGGTAATCCATGGTAGTTTTATTTTTTTTTAGTACAGGCCGTGCAACTCCAAAATGTGGATTGAAACGTTTTTCTGCACTGTAAGCAAAAACATTAATGCATTTATTGCACATCCAAGAAACTAACGCCACCTTATCACTTCTGAAATATTAATCTCTTATATCCCTGGTCATTTATATTTCAGCGAATGTCCTCATGCATTATAGAGTGGACCACTGGATGCCCTTACCTGATGGGGGCAGTCTCATCGCCTCTGTCCAGCCAATCCTGTGGTGGGATGATGTACATGCACCAGAGGCCCCAGTTGTAGCCATGAGCTGCATTAGCGTATTGCTGCACCTCAAAGGTGTTGTACTTGATATTATCTATCGCGGGGAGGATTATCCTAGTGTGATCTTCTTTCACTCTGGTGAGGATAGGCTCAGCCCTGAATAAATGATAGAGATCAGAAAGAGAAAGAAGAAGAAGAAGAGAAAGAGATCGGGAGTTGAGACATACTGAGCCTTTCTTACTATTTTTTTTTTTACTCAAATAGTGGTTGTTATATTCCTGCTACAAAGAGCAACAGAGGTAAAAACAAGTGTTAGGATGTCAATGTGAAATGTCCGTACAATATTTTATTAAAACACTCTCCAAAATGCCTAAACCAGAGGTTGCAACTACACAATTCTACTTTACCGGGAAACATTTTTGTATGATAGCACTCTTCTCAGATTTCATCCGTAATACCAAACTAAACCAAATGTTTAATGAGATATAATTTTTCAATGTTTCATTTTGCTTTTGATGAATAATTAAAGTTGTTGACAAGGTGTTGCATTCGCATTTTTCACTGTGCCTTTTTGAATTTGTGAAAAGTAATACAATTTGTACATCACACATACTTAATTGTAATGCGCAAATGTCTCTTGCAAGCTGACATTGTAAATAACCAAATACTTTCTCATTCAATGCATTCACCTAGTATACAGCTTCTGTGTTTCCTTTAAAATCCATGTGGTTCCAAGAATCCAGAGGTTGCAACTACACAATTCTACTTTACCGGGAAACATTTTTGTATGATAGCACTCTTCTCAGATTTCATCCGTAATACCAAACTAAACCAAATGTTTAATGAGATATAATTTTTCAATGTTTCATTTTGCTTTTGATGAATAATTAAAGTTGTTGACAAGGTGTTGCATTCGCATTTTTCACTGTGCCTTTTTGAATTTGTGAAAAGTAATACAATTTGTACATCACACAGTCCACATACTTAATTGTAATGCGCAAATGTCTCTTGCAAACTGACATTGTAAATAACCAAATACTTTCTCATTCAATGCATTCACCTAGTATACAGCTTCTGTGTTTCCTTTAAAATCCATGTGGCTGTTTCCAAGAATAATCTTGGATGGAAAATTGATTCTGTCATTTTTGGAAATAAGCTTGTATTCCATTATCAAAACCGGTGTTGGTTTAAAAGGAGAACAATCAAGCCTGACAGCGTAATCATCACATATTGACATCTGCAGCAGAAGCAAATATAAGACTAACATGAAAACCTGCAAAAACTTTCCATCAGTCCCTCTCATCAATGTCCTTTTTTGAACCTTTTTCACCACCTCACAAATAATTTTTGTCTAGCATCATTCTTTGACTCCTGAATGTACTATTTCTTTCTTCTTCTTTTTTTTTTCTTCCTATGTCTCTTCCTTTGGTGTCCTTCATCTTTTTCGAGGTCATCCTTAAAAAGCTCAATCACATTAAGGTAATAATCAACACTGAGACATGACTTTTAATAGGGCTGTGAGTGGGGCCTTCAGAAAATAAAATAGCCTGCTGAGAGGCTTCTTAATGTAAGTGTCCAATTAACAAGAAAAAGGGTGTTTTAAAGAGGCTGTATATCTGGGTCGTTTGCACAATATTTCAGAAATATTTCAGAAATCATTCTAATAAAATGATGTGACATTTTTTATTATTAATGCTAAAAACAGTTTAATATTTTAGTGGAAACTGTGATTCTTTGATGAATAGAAAGTTCAAATGAACAGCATTTTTTTTAAATTATAAACGTCTTTATTGTCAATTTATTAACAGTAAATACAAATTTTGATCAAAGAATAATGCAGCCTAAACATAAAAAAATATAATTTTCTCTCTATTTCTGATTTGTGTTGTATATAAACTCATATATACATATCATACATAGTATACTGTATATATATATGTGTGTGTGTGTGAGAGTAAACTTCTGTAAACGTAAAAGACTAAAGATGGGATTTAAAAATGTCACAAACCAGATTGTCACTTGTGCAAAATATCAAATCCCTACTCTTCAGGCCAAGTTTGGTTTCAACCAACAATCAGTGGCACAAAACACAAATGGCAAACCCACCCTTGCCAACAACTGAGGTACACGCTACACTGTATTTCAGTGTTATTTAAACCTGGGTAAAATATTCAATCTACATTATATAATGATTAAAAAACAACAGAATCTAAGCCCTGTCACATCAAATTGACATCTATGATATTTAACATTCTACTACAGAAGTCTCAATAAGACCAGATGCTCTTTCATGAAAAGCTGGTCCTGAATAAGCACGACACAGCACATGTGGGGATATGAGGATGTACTGATACGATAACCTTGCAAGAGAAACCATCCCTCTTGTGAATCCTCTATTCATCTTCTCTGTCCTTGGGCCGCTGGCGTCATAACCTGGACTAGCTACATGTTAAATCCCAAAGGAGCCCATTTATGGGCTATAATAAACCAGCGGTGTGCAGATAAGACTCAACACGTGCAGCCCACTCTATTGGGTGCCCTTTCTTGTGATGGTGAAAAACAATACTAATCCGATCATGTGACAAGTAGAGCAACCACATAGAGAGCTCAGATACTACAGTAAAAAATATGGAACCTTGTTTCTGCCACAGAATTAAAAAAAAGGTAATTGTGACTTTAAATTTGAATTGAAATATTTTGAACTGCAATAACTTTTTCTCTGAATTCTGAGTTTTACATTTTTTTTTTAAAGACTATCTCACAATTCAGCCTGTTTTTCTAGCGATTGTGAGTTAATATCTCATATATATATAATATAATATATATAAATATTAATTTAGTATTTTGTTAGACGGGTATAAAAAAAGCTTAGTTTACAAAATAAAAAAATATCTCACAGTTCGGAGTATTTTTTTCTCAGAAATGTAAGTGCAATTCTGAGTTTATATCTCGCAATTCTGAATTGTGAGAAAAACAGTCCACATTGCGTGATATAAACTAACTGTGCAATATCAAAAAGTCTGAATTGTAAGATAAAAAGTTTGTTTATTCTGTTACCTTTTTAATTGTTTAATCCTGTGGCAGAGACAAGCTTCCATATTAAAATGGAAACTAAAACTATAAAAAATTGATTAAAAGTTTAAATAACTTTTCAAAGTGAATAGCAACATTAAATATGGTAATGAGGAAATACAGCATACAAATTAACCAACCACATCAGCAGAACACAAAAGAAAATACGCTGCTGCTGCAATCATTATATCTTTTGTGAGCCTTTCACTGATTTTATCATCCTATTTTATAGTCTGACGTTATCACTGAGTGCTAATATGCACACCTACTGACTGCAAGCAGGAATATATATCTGTCAAACCAGTGCAATGAAAGGAAAGTTACAGCCCATGCTTGATTTACTCCAGGAAGTCACAAAAGAGAACAAAAACAAAAGAAAGAGGGAGGGGCAAAAATAAAAAACTTTACAGTATCACAGTGTCATGACACACACTGGAGAGCTACATAAGGCTCAGCTAAAAAAAACATATAAAGTGCCACAGTAGACAGTGTGAAGGGAGCAGACAGAAGGGGAAAAATAAGAACAAACAAACAAACAAACTTTGAGAATATAGACAAGAACATGGAAATGCAAATGTAAAAAAAAAAAGCAGTAGACAGTGTGAAGGGAGCAGACAGAAGGGGAAAAATAAGAAAAAACAAACAAACAAACTTTGAGAATATAGACAAGAACATGGAAATGCAAATGTAAAAAAAAAAATAATAATAAAAAAAAAATGCTGAATGTCAAATTTTTAAAACCCAGTCCCATTACTAACACAGCTTCCAGTAACTGCTGGGATTAATTACAAAAGGGACTCTCTTTGGTATATGAGACAGGGTGTGCGGAAGGGCAACAGTGATCAGTTCTTTCATTACCCACAGGATACGTCTGGATCTTTTCAAACAGATGAAAGTGCCAGACATAAAATCAGAAATGATAAAGGAAAATCTTGGTTGTTTCTTGGTTGTTACTGCTGTATAACAGCCTTAGACTGACAACCATATACAATAAAGCAGCATCAATGCCACGTTTAAAATGTCAGGTGTGACAATGTCAAATACATTTTTGTTTGTTTATTCCAAGATCATTCCTTTATGTAAACTATGTATATTATGTATAGAATCTGCACGCATCTTAGAGTAAACAAACAGAGCAGTACAAAAGTCTTCAAGAATCTGGGATTCAGAAATGTGATTTAAACAAAAAAGCAAAGAATATAAAAGTAAGTTTTAGGATTTTTAACATTTTTAAACAAAGAAATCACAACAATAATGGTAATCCTTTTTAATAGATGTTTAATAACTATTACTTTTTCAGATCAACTTTTCACTCAAATTGTTATGCCAATAATATAATTTATCAAGAAAAGTTATGTGCTAAATATGAAAAATTTCACTTTTAGACATTTGGATTCTACAGTATATGTTATACTAAGTGTTGCTTTTGTTTATGTGTCACGTTCACTACTGTGAGGGAGCGAGGAACGAGGAGACGTGGACTACATCAACAAGGAAACTTTAATAACATCAAGGGAGCGGAGCAGGCAGACTAGGGAGCCATGGCGGAGCAGGCAGCTCAGGGGCCATGGTGGAGCAGACAGACTAGGAAGCCATGGCGGAGCAGGCAGACTAGGAAACCATGGCGGAGCAGGCAGACTAGGAAGCCATGGCGGAGCAGACAGTCCAGGAGGCCATGGCGGAGCAGACAGTTCAGGAGGCCATGGTGGAACAGGGAGCTCGGGGAGCCTGGCCTCAGCACTCTGCCCGGCCTCCACGGATGGACCCCTACTACCCCCACCAAAAAATCCTTTTAGAGGCCCTCCGTAGGCCTAACTCGGGAACTGTGGCCCTCCTTGGGGTGGACATGGGGACTAGAGCCCTCCTTGGGCTAAACGGTGGGACTGGAACCCTCTCTGGGCGAAACTCGGAGACAGGAGCCCTCACTGGGCTACACTCGGGGACAGGAGCCCTCACTGGGCTAAACTCGAAGACAGGGACCCTCACTGGGCTAAACTCGGGGACTGGAGGCCTCACTGGGCTAAACTCGGGGGGCCCTCTCTGGGCTAAACTCGGGGACTGGATCTCTCTCTGGGCTAAACTCG